TAACAGAAGATGAGGTTCTGGAGCAGCCTGATTCTGTTCCTCACCAGAAATCAAGAATGCAAAAAGTACTTTTGAAGACAATATAGAAGAAAAGACATAATTTTACATAATGTATTATAAAATAAAATAATTATCTGCCAAGCAATAAATCACAGGGCTCCATTAGTTTGAGAAGGCCTGGTAAATATTGTAAAGAGACATGAGCATGAAAACAGAGCAGTTACTTGATATGGGAAGAGTATCTTTGTATTTCGCTGGATGCAGCAAAAAACCCCAACTTCTTGCCCTCCTTGTTGCATTAATGAAATGTTATCAACTTTTATGTGCCCTGTAACATTTTCAATTAAAATGCAAACTATATTATGTATCCCATTCAAATTGGTTTGAATTTTGATCCTAACAGTAAGGGTTTTCTGTAAGATACAACAATAAAAAACTGGAAAAACATTGCATAATTTTCAATCATATAGGGTAACTCTTCAAAAGTTCTCACCTTATTGTAGAATTACAGTCTAAAAAAATACTAAGATGTGTTCTGTATGATTTATGAACATCTATATAGAGAGACTTCAAAGTTTATACATTTTTTCATTGCCTTTCAGGAGACACAAAACATCTAATAGACTTTCCTCAAAACTCAAAGTTAATGAATAAGGTCACAGTGCTCAAAAAGTCCTTCTGAGTGCATGGTGTTTAGATCAACAAATTATATTCCTCCATTTTTAAGAGAAATTTGCAGAAAATGTTCACTCAATTCATTGAGAGTGAATACATAATTCTTAAGTGGGAGATGAGATGCTAAATTTACACTGAATGTGGTTGCTACTGATGCATCATTGACAGTGCAGCTATAAAAACCCCTGCATCAGTGACACCCTCCTGCAGTTTGTGCTTGCATAGGGCTGTAGTTCCAACAAGTGGATTTTGCTAACGATTCTAGTGAATGCAAAATTTTTAGATCACTGACATGTCTCTGCAGGACATTTTTAAACCCTAAGAAAGATAATACTCTTTGTTCTATATTAAGAAAATATTTTTATATAAAATTTTTTATAACTTTTATAAAAAAATTATGAAAATTAGCTTCCAACACAGGCCAAAGAAGACTGAATTCAGATTCCAAGAAGGGATTTTATATGTTATATATTGTGTGTATACACTTGGAATGCTTTACTAAATATAAAATATGAGATGTTTTAAATTACACAAAAAACTTAGACTGTAATTATATAACTGTCTGTAGTTGTGACTATTCAGATCACAGTATTTTGGAGTGTGTTTAATGTATTAAGAGTAATATAAAAAAATTTAAGGTTATTTTAAGTATATTTGGTATAAATTGAGTAACAGGGTAAAGCATAGGTCTTTCCAAAATAATATAAAAGTCAGATTCAAATTTTTAAAGAAAGCCAATTTTTATCTCAGTTAAAAAAGCAAGAAAATAATCTTAAAATAGCTGAGAAAAATACTCGTTTGCTCATTCTCATGCTTTTTCTTTAATATTGAAATTTCAAAGAATTCTTTCCAAAGATTTAAAGCAATTGAGAAGCAGTGGAGGATGAACATATAGAATCTACTTTTCCTGGTACTGGGATTTGCAGATGAGGTTTTCTCTCCTCCTAACCCTTGATATGCATGTAGTGATTAGTCAGACTGTACTCATTAAGGGTAGAAAAGGGGGAAATACTGTACCCACAATAGAGGTAAGGGGAGGAACCAGTGGTCCACCCCATCCAAGCTGAAACGTATCCTATATGAAATAGAAATATACAGCCTGTTATTAGTTGTGAATCTGTAATGACAGACACTTGATGCTATGTTTTATAACTCAATTATATGAGAAATCTTTCTTTCATACTAATGAAGTTTTGAGTACTCTTGAAAATGCCTCATTGCCACTTTCCTGGTAAGGGAATCTAAGGAATAGCCATTGAATTTTAGAGGAGATTTAAAACATCAAATAGTCTAATTTAGATTTAAAAAGTTATTAAATTGGACTGGAAATTTGAAATACAGTAAATGTTTAAAGCCATCAGCCAGAAATATGCATAAGGCATGCAAAACTGAAAGTGCAAGTGGATTTCAGATTGTTTGCTGCCTTCTACTATTTCTCTAATAAATCAAGCACGGCATGACATGCTTTATTTTGTGAAGTCAGACACAAATGCATGCTTTATTGTCACTTAATTCTCTAACTCAGCAAAGCAAATGTACTCCATATTCTACATTTTCAAGTAGCATACCAGTTCAGAACTAGCGCAAAAGCATTATACTGCAAGTACTAAAAAGCTAAACAAAAAGCAATGGGTATATTCAAATCTCAGTTTGCAGCTACTTCTGCTTAGTACATACACTAATTGAGATGAGAATATAAACCCTAAGACAGAAATTTAAATTAAATTAAAGCAATCCTTTACTTTGCCTTCCAGCATCTGGGTGGAGTTAGTTTTGAGATTCAATATAGAAAGTATTCAAATTTCTCAAAATTCAGTATACTAGCAGATATTCTAAATGCCTTTAATATGGCAGAATTCACTTCTGTGCTTAAGGCAAGCTATAGATCACCTGTACCCTATTTTGGTGCAAGTGATTCATATATCTTATACTCACTTTGGAAAGAGAATTATGAAACAGCACAATTATAAAATTAATTGTAACTAAAGAGTATAGCTGAAGACTTCTAAGAATGTAACTTAAAATCTGAAGTGTGTTTCATATTTAGGCATAACAGAATATTCATTAGTTTGTACTGACTGTGTAAAATGCTGCACTCTTCCAATTCACCAGAATGAGAAACTTGTTTAAGAGAAATATTGATTGAATTGAAGTAGTTAAGTACTTGGCAAACTGTTTTACAAAATGATGCAGAGCTTCTTATATCCACAGCCTCTTGTGGAATACTTCAGATATTTTACATTTTCAGTGCATAATTTGCAGTTTTGAGCATGGGTAAACATTAAAATTTAAATACGTGCTGAATAAAAACTCTGTTTTATCACAGCTCAGTGCAGGTATGGGCAATACAAGAAAGCCAAGAGGGCTGCTTTATCTTTGCTTTCTGCTGACAGAATAAAGAGTCTCTTTTTATGAATTCTTATGACATGAACTCGGTTTCTGAGAATACTTTAATTTGACTATAGTCTTATGAGCTGGTCAGTTATTTATTATTTGAATCTTTTTACTGTTTGTGAGTCATTCATAAAGTAATGCCAACAACAGTCAGTGAGCTGTTTTGAATACTTGCCAAGTGCTTTGGAAAAAACCCACTATTTCAGAAGTGCAAGTAGTAACTATAAGGCCTCCATATATTTGGCCAGTCAAACCTGCTAAGTGACTGGAATCAGGTACTCCATTGACTGCCATTAATATTGGAGGATAGAGCTGAAGCCTATTTGCTTCTCCAAGCTTCTCTGTGATTCCTAACCAGTAAATTGCTCATGAATTATTCATGTTGTGTAGCTGAAATTCTATCATATGATTGGGGTCCTGGCAAAGTTTCATAGTTATTCAGCAAGCAGTAGGGGAAAGCAGTAAATAGATTTCAAATAACAGGTACCTTAATAACAGCTTCTTTATGCATCAATATCCTAAATCTTGTAAGTGGAAAATTTACTAAGGTGACCATGTAAAGATACAGAAAAAATGAATAAAACATTTAGCAATCAATTTTAACATCTTTTTAGAAATCTTTTTTCTTCCAATATAATTTTAATAGCTGCATTTTTTTTTCCTTCCTGCATAATATCTGTACTGGTCTCCCAGTCCTCCTGCAGCTGACCAGAACATCATTAAAAACATAAAGCTGACAGCAGTTTCCCAACATTTCTCTGCACAAAACCACATACATTTATCTGAATGTTCATGAACGGTATGTACAAAGAAAGACAAAGAGAAAATGGCTAAATCATATGGTTGCATGTTCTGTGGTACTTGACCAGCTCTTACCCTGCTGAATGTCACTTCGTGAGTTTCATATAAGGAGAAAACTGTTAAAAGTCAATTTGCTGCATGAAGCTGAAATTTATTCATTCAGTAATTGGTTAGCAATGTATTTTCTGCTGCATTCTGAGTGGAGATAGGTAGTCTGCTGAATACAATTTCAGGAAAAGAATCTGAAGCCTCAGTTTCACTTCATTAATCTTATATTTTTTCTAAAGATTTTGCATTGTTTCCTCTTATGTTTCCATGATGCAGGAAAAAGCATTCTCTTAAAGCATATTTAATTGACATGCATATAGAGTTAGTTTGTATTCAGTGGCTTTAAGGAACAGAAGGTATAAACAAATGAAAAAATAAGTCAAAATGCCTTCTTGAGTGAGATGAATAGTAAGCAGGGCCTCTAAATTACTCAGAGTAACAAGAAATAACTTTATATACATTGTATTGAATATTGAATAGAGATTAGTTGAAATAAAAGAAGCATTTGCCTTACAAAAAGAATAACTTCATAGAGGAATCAAATAACTTGATTTGCTTTTTAAGTCAGCCAAACTCAGAAATAGATTTAAACCACTAGTGGATATGAATGTATCTGTAGTATCATTTAATGAAATTCAATGGGGTTAGATTAAAGGGGGTTTATAAAATACAATGAAAAATGAAGAATTTCTAGGAGAAAATACCTTTGTTAACTAATGCTAAATTAGATTCCTGTATACATATTTTGACATATTTATCAGTAAAGAACTCAGTAAAATTGTGTTACATTTTATTTATTATTAGGACTCTGTTAAGAGAGTTCATAGTTGGCAATTTCAAACACTCATATGAAAAACTCCTGAGATTGGCTAGAAAGTAAAGTAACCTTAATGAATATAAGTTCTATGTGATAACTGCACATGGATTTAGGTGAATGGATGAAGCTTTTTGCTTATCTGTTAGTAAAAGATATGCGAGAAAAAGATAGTGCAGCCTTTCTGCATGGACTTGTCATTCCTTGTTGTGCATGCATGTATTCTTTATATGCATGCATAGTTCCAGACACTTTCACGTTGTCTTACCCTCATGCCTTCAAATCGTGACAAAGCTCTTAGAGGTCTCAAAGCTCTTAGTGTCCTAAGGGACTTAATGGCACCAAGTTCAGAGTAACCCAATGCATTTGCTGTTAAGCTAACCAAAGAGACCTATACGAAAACAGGAAAGTAAAAATTATTATATGGTACATTCTACTTTACATACCATAGATGTGAGATATACACTTCGTTAGAAGAGTCTAATTTTGGACCACTTTCTTCAGGAATAGGGAGTCTTTCAAGTTAAAAAAAAAAAAAGAAGAAGAAATAAGCAATATGAAAGGTGAATAGGTAAACAAACAAACAAAAATAACATAAGACAACTAATATCTGGAAACATTAGTACTTCTGAATTTCATCCTTTGCTACTCATCTGAGGACATTTAAAACCACAAAACCGGAATTATATTAATTTCTCCTTTTTACCAATTTAGGTATTGTTCTTATTGTTTCTTTATTTTACAATACTGTTGGGATCAGTAATTGTGGTTGATAATGTCATTTGATTGCTCACAACTGAAAGGGAAGTGATTGAAGTTTGTGTTGAGCTACACGTGGGTCACAGAACAACATTGCTCCTTTGAAAATTGGTAAAAAGGACTATTTTTGTTATAGGCAGTTATACTGACTACTCCTTTTGCCTGAATGCTGAAATTATGAGCTTTACAAGCTGAAATTGACCTGGACTGTGCTGTTTCTAAGACCGTAGTAGAACAGTTCCATAGGTGGAAGAATTTGACAGGCCTTTAAATGTTCCATGTCCCTACATTACCTCAGTGCAAAATACCACAATTCTCCACATTTGCTATGGCTCCTGTCCAAAATATTACTTTCTGTTTGTTTCCCATTTCCCCTAAATGTTCCCTCATTATGCTGTTCTAATTCCTTAACTATTTATTGAGCCAAAAATAGCATAATGTTCTCATATACTCTTTCATTATAAAGAACAACGTATCAGGTAAAGAGAATTCTAGGACTGTGCTCATATTTAAAAACAAGCATTATATTTGCAATTTTTAGCTTTTAAAAGTTAATAGCTTTTCTGAACTTTTCAGCAGCTCTAGCAACCACAAAACTTGATTCTTTTGAAATCTAAGTTTCTTTTCTCCAGCACATTCATCATATTACTGAAAACTTTCAAGTTGTCATAGTCTAAAGGAAAATTAAAGAAAATACCCACGTGTGTAAATTCAGCATATATCATGAACTAATTCAGATACTTGAATACGTACTATACCTTTACATAATGATGTATTCACATTTTCACATTCACAAGATAGCTTGTGTTTGGGATAGTACAATTTAAATAAGGTCAAATATTAGAGAAAATGAGTTAAAAAAATTAACAGCTGCTTCTGCTTGCATGCTTGTTCAAGATTTTTTGTTGTAGGTATCACTTAGGTACCCATTTTGAGAATTTCAATACTAAAGAGCAAAGCGTTTTCCAAGAGAGGGTACTTTCTTTTTATGAAACATGGCCATCTGTAGCTGTACATGTGGAGTTGAATCCTCAATATATTTAAACCACAATGTACACAGATAAAAAATGTGTAAACACCTATAAATAAACAAGGAAAAAAAACAAATTGAAGAAAATTAATTATTCTGATGCTCTAATTTGCCCTTGTGTGATGGGAACATATTGAGAAAATGTTGGATTTTTGGCAATACTTTGGCACAATAAATTCTTGTAATGGTCTCTTTTTGTCTGTTCAGTGTACATTTCTCAGTCATTGAAACCAGGACAAAAGGAATCTTAACTTTAAAACTGAGCTTGTTTTTTGTATATGTTTTACCAGAAATTACTGTCTTGAAAATATAGTGACTGGTTCTGGTTTTGCAGCTCTGTAGAACATAGTATTTGATGTTCACCCAGGGAAATTAATGAGCTGCAGAAACAGTATGCATTCCTACACACTGCAGGTTTTTCCCCCAGGGGGTATACTTAAGATATTCTTCAATGCTCCATAACTGTATCAATGCATCAAGAAATGTTCTCTCCCATTTCACAGCACAGTACCATAGAGCTAGAACTATGAGATACAGCAAAGATTTCAAACATGCCCGTGAAGTCTGCAAGCTCAGTAGTACTTATTGGACTTCAATACTAATTAATCCACACTTCCAGTGCTAGAGGTATATCTTGCTTTCCTTGTGGAGCCCTAATTTTCCATATGCTGAAGTTTGTGGGCATGATGTTCGTTTTCTTGCCAGAGGAGTTTTGATTCAGATGGTTGTCTGGTGGATCAGACACACATCTAAATTCTGGGTTCAACCTAGACCACAGCAGGAGGAATGATGGGTCTGAAGGTGGGAATGAGCATCCCAGGCCAGAATGCAAGGCAGGATGACCTCTTTCAACAGCAGTGTTGGGATAAACTCCCCAGCTGCCTGGGGGCTCCGTGTGAGGTCCTTCTGTCCAGCAGGAGAACTTCCAGTCTCTCTGAACACAGCAAGGCAGTGCCACAAGCATGAAGTGAAAGACAGAGAAACATGGAATTTTTCCAGCTACCTTGCTTTTCAAATTGAAAAGTAAACTAGTTGGCATTAATAGATATTATGGCTGCAGAGAAAGTAAGTTTAAAAATTATCAGAAAATTATAAAAGTGTCACCTAGGAAATGCACTACTTACATCGACAATGAGGAAGTCCAGCCAGCACCAGGCATTAGTAAAATATGTTTGGTAGCCATAGGCCACCCACTTCAGCAGCATTTCCAGAATGAAGATGTAAGTGAAGACCTTGTCAGCATATTCCAGCATGGTCTTGATAGTTTTACGTTGTTCAATATATATGTCTTCAAAAGCCTGTGAGTATAAACATTCAAAGATAGGTTATTTTTTATTACTGCACATGCTTTGGGTTTTAACACAACAAACAAAAAAAGACAACAAAAATATTCAAGAAATGGCAAGGATATGTCATTTCTATCTAATGCTTCTTTTTCTGGTAACTCAGAATATACCTGTTTTTTCCCTATGAAAATACATTTTCCAGCTCACAGGAGGAAGAAGAAGATATTACACAGTAACCACTACACTGGTCAGAGATTTTTTAAAATGTATTTATTTATTTATTGCTGATAGTTAATTATTCTTCTCAGATCATATTGCATATTGACAAAGAGAACTGATTCTGCCAAGTGTTGTGCCTGAACTGAATTCTACTGAGATCATTGGCTTGTATGTAGGTAGACCCAAATACAAAATCCAGGGCCATAGCTGTAAAATTTTGAGGACAATGACAATACAAGCTACCTTTTTTTTTTTTTTTTTAAGTCCTCTGGCTTCCTGAAAATTTAAAGTTCTAAATCTTAAAATAAGTTCTTCCTTTCTTAAAAAAAAAAAAAAAAGTCTTAAATCAATTACCTGCTTTATTATTCACATTTTATGAAATACATAAAATTTCTGAGCTCCTTGCAACGTTATTTACACTTTTTGTGTTCTCATTTTTAGGCAATTGGACAAACAAATAGCTCCTGCTTTTCATAAATTCTTCTTCTTTTTTTTTTCTTTTTCCCTTTAATTGCTTTCATTTTTTTTTTATGGAGACTGACTGATTTTATAAAGCTGAAAAAACTGGAATGATCTGCTAGCTTGCAAAGATTTGGATATTTTTTTATACTAACATTAATTTATACTCAGCCTGCTTTTGAACCACTTGACATCTGTCAGTTCATATGATTAGTGTTTGTATATCAGACATCAAGCTAAGATCTGTGTAATTCTGGTTACTTGCATCAGGCACTGTGGAACCTGGCACTCCTGTGTCGGCTAAAACTGGGAAGTCAGCACTTGCCATGTGCTTTGTACAGGTGGGGGGTGCCAGAGGCTGAGCGAGGAGTGCTCCTGGCAGGGAAGTGTGCCTGCTCCCTGCCCCAGAGCCTGCGGAGTGCTCCTGGCAGGGAAGTGTGCCTGCTCCCTGCCCCAGAGCCTGCGGAGTGCTCCTGGCAGGGAAGTGTGCCTGCTCCCTGCCCCAGAGCCTGCGGAGTGCTCCTGGCAGGGAAATGTGCCTGCTCCCTGCCCCAGAGCCTGCGGAGGGCTGAGCAGGCACCTGCCCCTGCCTGCTGCGTTTCCTGGCTGGGATGACAGTGAGACTTGTCTGGAGCATGGCCTTGGGGTGAATATGGGATGCAGAGCTGGTAGGCACAAAGAGACCTTTTCACTGTCACAAAGGGCTTTAAAGGGAGAGCAGAGTCTCACATCTCCAGAGGCTTGGGCTAATCCATGGTCTTTGAAACGTTTTCACGAAATAAAGGTTCTTTGCATGACACACCTTAGGCTCACAAGCACAAGGTACTAACACTGTGCTATCTTGTCTCAAATTTCCTCTAACTAAAGTTATAAAAATGCACGTTTTTCAGATCTCCTTCCACTACGTTTCTCATTTAAATTTCTTGTCACTGAAGATTTTCTCCACTTAGTTGTATGAACCAAAATTCAATGGTGTAAACTTGATCTTTTTTTGTTATTTGGAGGATTTTAAATGACAGGGAAGGTGTCACACGGCATTGCATAAAGGTTGTTTTTCTAATGGTTGTGTCAATATTAGACCAAAAAAAACCAGAATAATTCTTAGAGATGTAGCTGAAACTAGTGATAGGTATTATCATAAACTGCTAACAGTATTAACAGCATTTTAAAATGTTGGCAGCAGTCTAATTATCTTATAATACCTTTTTGAAACACAATTTTGTTTATTATGTAGGAAGTTAAGTAATTTGCCGAAGGGTAAGTAAATCTGTCAGGGTAGATTCTAGACATACTCTGCATTATCTTACAGCAAATAGTTTGCCTAAGAAACATCACCTCAGTGTATTTATACAGTCTCACTTTGATTTAAAAACTCATCTACAATTTCTTTTTTCTTCATCATTATTTAAATTTTTGAAAAAACATGTTATCATTAGGGTTTATTTAATTTATTGTTATAGATTTTTATTATGGTTGGCTTCTCTTTATTCTGCCCTTGCATGGTTGTTAGAGCAAATTCATGTTTTTGCAGATGTCCCTTCAGTCTACATGAGTATGAGTCAGTAGAAGCTGAATTGTAAATCTAAATAATAAATCCTTATTCTTGGAAAGGAATTAAAACCCCCACGCAGGCTTAGCTTTTTTTGCTGTTGTAGCACACAGCATTTCTAGGACGGCATAAGCCAGCCCTGGCCCTTGCAAGGTGTTTTGAACTGTTTATGCTATTATAATTCCAAACTCTCCACAGTGACAATCCTTTTCCCTGAGCTACATCAGTAAACAGCAGAGAAAGGAGGGAGCACACTCAAATAAGAAAGTTTAGCATGTTCTCTTCTTCACATGTGGTTTCTCTCTGCCTGAGGCGTATCACTGCCACTTCCAGCAATGGAGGTAGGCTCTCTCTAATCACTTATGTCTGTTCTTTTTTCCACATGTTGTTAAGAAGAGACTGGTTTTGCTGTTTTTCCCAAGGCCTGAATAAAATTTAAAATTTAGTCCCACCATTTGAAGCCTTGGAATTGTGTTAAGTTAAAGCAGTGTTAGAAGAGACAATTTTAAGGAGTTTTCTGAAAACATGGAAACATTCTGTTCATGTTTTACTTACCAGAGCTCCGCTACTGAGGAGAATCATAAAGACAATGAAAGTCTCAAACCAGTTGTGTTCAACAATCCTGAAGCAGGTTTTTCTAAGGTTCCACCACTGCTTTCCTCTCCCTTCTTCTATACTTACTTGACAGCACTTGAACCTTCTTACACAGCCTTTAGAACATTGTATGTAATGAGAGGAGGAAAAAAAGGAGAGATTTTGTTGAGTTAATTTTGGTTATGCATTCTGTTAATGATACAATGCTATGTTACTATGCTATTTAGTAAAAAACCACTAGATTTTCACCTAGATAATCTTTTTCTTCAAAGAAAACAATAACATTGAGACAATTGGAATTTTCAGTTAAATGAACAAGTGAGAAGAATTAATTTCTCATTTATCAAGAAGTGCTCAATACAGTGCACACGAAAAGATAAAAGTCCATCAAACACAAAGCCAAATTACAGAATAAAAAATAAGAGTTAAAATATACAAACTCATCCAAATGTCAGGTAGGTTGATGTAGTAAGATATGGGTAAATGATATTAAACCCACCTTCTTTTGTTCAGGATACTCAATTCAGACAATGTTGCATTCATTGCATGAAAAAAAAATCTAAGGCTCTTGTCTGAGTTCTGAGCTTTTCAGTACCAGCTAATTTCTCTAACTTCTGTCCCTAATTTATTTTACACTTTTATGATTTAGCTGCTGATTTTTATGTAGAAAAATATTAGAAATAAATAATGGTATTTTCCATGATAAATCCTAGACTGTTACAGTACTGTCTCTTACAAGTTCAATGTAAATTTCTAAAGAATGATCTGTTTATCATGTCCAGAAGTAATCAAACCTGACAATAGCATTTATTCTCCAATGCCTAAATCTAATTTTTGTTTACAGATACCAAAAATGGCATTTATATCCTTATATTACTGTTTTAAAAAGCATTTCTCTCTCCACCTCCTTCACATGCACACATCCATAAGGTTTCTCCCAAGGAAATGCCATTGGAAAAACATTTATGATCAGATTGGAGTTTAATTGAATTGTGGGCCATTAGAAGGAAGAATGAAAGATGAAGGAGTCCACCAGGTTAGACTGTTTATTCCCCAGGTGGGACACAAGGCTCTTTCTTCTCCTTTTGCCAATTTGTAGAAGATTCATTTAGCATTTTTCACAAGACCATCTAGGTGCAGTTTTTATTTATCACTAAACAGCTATTGTAGCAATGTATACTTTATAAAGCACTTAGATATCTGTGAAGACTATTTTTTAAACTGTGTGTTTACTATCTGTAACTAAACTCTGAAAGTACAGTAACATACTAAAACAAAACTTTCAATACCATATTTTTCTTATTTTAAAAATTGAGATATATTTCCAATAAAATGTTTTCTTAACTGTTTATCCAATACATAGTATAATTATGCTATCAGTTTCCATGTAATATATTATGGACTAAAAGTCCTATTGCTAATAATCAGAGCTTAAACACTAACAAAAGGGCAATGTGATTCATAAATCTTAATACTTAACTTCCATAGAAAATGGCTCTGAATTCTATTAATAATTATTACTAGTGTTTCTCTTCCAAATACCTTCTGTGAAGCAGGCCTCTGGCTCCTGGGCTTCTTCAGGTTCAGCTTCTGGTTGTTCTTCTGCAGGAAGTCCAATATCAACTGTGCTGCCTTCAGATGAACTAGATGAATTTAACTTCTGTAAAGAAAAGAAGCATCACAAATGAACAGTAAATAATTTAAAGGCAAATATTATTTAGTTCTGGAATAAGTAAATTAGACAATGTTTTTGAATGTTCTAGAGTTCAACGTAAGTAAGTTGTTGATAAACATTTGAGAAATTTATACAGGCTGGTTTTCCTTCTGTACTGTATGAATCTATTAAATAGAAGGTGTATCAGTAACAGATCAGACTTCAAATAAAATTGTGCTTTAAACTGAAAAATGTGGGTTATGATAAATCTGAGAAGATTTATGACCACAACAAGCCATAAGTCATAATGATCTCTTGACCTACATAGAAATAATGCAGCTTAAAAAACATACAGGAATTTGTAGTGTCTACATAAAATCAGGTGAGAGGCTAAAAATAACTACATAAATGAGGTGGGAGCTCAGAGGAATGAGGAAAAAAAGCAGAGAAGGCCATACTTCAGGAGTTAGTAAATCCAAATTAAAATTGCTGAAAGTCTAGCTCAAAGTGAGGCAGAATCTGCATACAATAAGGCTGAGGTAGTTTAAGCCTGTAAAAAAAATCAGATTGTGTTTTATCAACAAATTTTCAACAACATGATGAGCATAAAGAGACTGAGGCATAGGTTGGAAACCAAATTAAAAAAAAAATGCACTTAAGCTAATTCTCATCCTAAAAATCCAAAAACTTGTAGGACGTAATGTACAGCTGGAACCTGGTTGCAATCTATGTCTTTGGTATTTTGGCTAAAACTTGGGCAAAATTGTGAAGGAAATATATTTAAACATGTATGGCTAAACAAAATCAGGAAACAACAGCAATATGGATCACTGAGTCTAACTATTATATTCAGCACTGCCAAGACTACTACTAAACCATTTAAAAGATGTGGCACCATGTCCCCAGGTGCCACATCTTTTAAATACCTTCAGGTATGACAATCCAACCACTTCCTTGGGCAGCCTATTCCAGTGCTTGACAATCCTCTCAGGGGAGACATTTCCCCCAATATCCAATCTAAACCTCCCCTAGTGCAACTTGAGGCCATTTCCTCATCCTGTCTCTTCTTGCTTGGGAAGGAGCCTGACCCCCACCTCGCTACAGCCTCCTCCCGGGTTCATCAGTGCCAGGTGGCAGCAGGCCTTTTGGTACTGAGGACAAAAAACCCCAAACACTAACAATAAAACTCTTATTAAAGCAGTGGCAGCAGTAAGTCAGAAGTGTCACGCTTCAATGGGATAAAAGGTAACCCTCTTCCTACAGGTAGCAGCACATCGGCAGACAACTTTCCTAAGCTTTCCTAAACTGAGTCTGTGTCTAAAGAGGATCAATTCTCCCTTGGTCAGTCAGACCAGCTGGTGCCTCTCTGTTTGACTGTGAGCTCTGTGATGGGTTGGAAGACTGGACTGGACAGCACGAAGGTAGTTATGGAGAGTAGATGATATGTCATTGTTTTCTTCTAAAGGTTCTTTGTTTAAATGTTTTATTTTGAAATTCTTCATGCTGTGGGTGGTTCATAATGTGCTGAAAGAAATTTTAAGAATCTTTATTGTAGCGGTGGTTCATAAGCATAAGTCAAATTAATGATAGACATTTTAGCTAATATTTAACAGGAAAATAATTATTAATGCTGCAGATATTAATAAGGAAGTGGGAACAAGAATGTCTCTGAAATAAGTTGCTGTGGGGAGAGGCTGTTTTGTACAGGTCTTCTTTCTTGGAGGAGGATCCAAAAATTGCACTTAGCTAAACACTGAGTTTTTGCTGAGAGCACTAGAGTGCTTTTATACACACTGAAAGGATAGTGATAAGGAGTTCAGCTACCCTAAAATTTGGTGTCTGAAGCACTGGTAGCAATACAACAGGTGGATAGAAGGGGGAAGATGAGCTATCCTGTAAAAAAAAAAAAAATGCATTGCAACGAAAATGGGAACTAGCTGGTTACGACTGAGGTTTCTCAAGTGAGAAAATTAATGTTGTTAAGTGTCTGGAAAGGCAATTTTCTAATTTGTCTAAAATGGCAACAAAGTAAGTCATTGAGGGTGTAGTTGTTTTGCAAATTCTGTCATCGAATCAATTTAAATTATTTTGCTAAAATAGCCACATACAAAAAGTTATGTAATGGAACAGTTATAGCTTTAATATGCTTTTAAAAATTACAGTTCTCAAAAAGGCTTTATATCAATAGTCTGCTTTAGCAGTCCTTTAGCAACAGTTGATGTTTTCATCTGTTGGTACTTTTCAATTTTCACAGCCAAGTGAATTTGAAGTGTTTGGGAGAGTCTATGGTTAAGACTTCTTTTTATGAGAATCTAGGTGTAGAAGAGCTGACAGTTTCAAAATCTAAAAGAATTCATATGTCCAAAGCAATGTCTAAAGGAGTTACATAAACTATTTATACATTTTCTGGTTTATATATGCTTTTTCAAGAGGCAGAGAGAAGATGTATCACACTCCTCATAGGACCCTTTTCACAGAAGGCAAACAAAAATTTCTGGCGGAATAACACTGCAGCTAAGACATTGTCCCCTACAAGCTGTTATAACTACCATGTGGACCATACATAGTTTTTATGGATTGGCTGTCTCCCATTACATGGCCTCTTATCCCCTCGAGGAGGATATAATTTTTTTAACTCTTTCTCACACTTCTGTTCATCAAGAATTAAGTCCTCCTTTATACATTCATTTATGCCTATCTACAAAGAAATGTCAAAATAAATGATTAATAATTGAATACACTGGCTTATGAGAAGTAAAACAAAAAAAACCTAAACAATCAAACAAAATCCCACATAACAAAGACCATCAAAAGATCAGAGAGAAATGCTAAAAATATCTAAATACCTCTTTGCTTTCTTCCAGGTCTGATTCACTACTAAATTCTTCTGTGTTTAGATTTTCAAAGTCGGATTCACCCACAGCAATGGGTACTGTCACAGTGAGGCTTGGGTTGTTTATGAATGACATGTAATCACTCTCATCAATTATGTATTTTTCCACACTGCTGCCTGTGCCTATACCACTGGTGGTTCCATTTGCATCTTTAATATAGTCATGGTCCTTGCTTAGTTCCACGGTTGTATGGTTAGAAATACAGCTATTTTTGTTGTTTAAATCTTCAAGTGGCTTGATTTCATCTAAAGCTTTCTGTTTTTTAACAAAAGCTTTTTGGATGAATTCACGTGCTTTTCTCTTCACATAATCAATGCCTTTCTGCATTCTTGCCACAGCAATCTGGAGATTGTTCATTTCATTATCATCATCTGTCACAGCGAGGTTGTCTGCACTAAATGAGCTCAAGAGCAAGGCCAAAAATAGGTTTAGTACCTGCAGAAAGATGTAGAAAATACGTTCTAGACTTTATTTTAAAAATAACATTTATTTTATTTAAAAATATCTATTATTGACATCAAAGACTGAAATCCCAGTAATTCACCATAACCAAAAAAGTACCCCCAAAAATTTTTCTCTTTTCCACAAAAACCAAGTTTATTTCCCTTAGCTTAGGTCCTGCTCACCATTCAAAAATATTTGTACAACTGACTAATATCTGTAAATGTGCCTTTAAATCCCCATGGTATGTAAATAGTTTGGTGTCAAAGTTTATAATCTAAAAATGGAGCTATCAGATTTGCTGTTCAGCATCATTAAAAAGTTTAACTTATCCCATCACAAAACAGAAATTAGATTATTCAGGTGACTAATCGTATGGTATAAATAATAAAAAAATCCACAGCAAATGGTTTGTAAAGAGCCCATAAACTAAAAGTATTTGGAGCACCAAATATTTTCAAAGGGCCAAAAGAGAAATTAGTCACATTCTTAAGTACCCACTCTGACATTCTCAGGATTTTGACATGGCAGAATATTTTGCTCTCTATCCAAAAAAGCTCTTAAGCTTAACTTTAAACATTTCTTGAAAACACCTGCTTAAGTGCTTTGTTGAAACAGAGCCAGAGCACTTAGTTCACTTCAGGACTGAGACTGCTCTCTTGCCAAATCATTTTTTGTTAACACTTTGATTACTTACCACTAGGTTTCCAATCACCATGACCATCATGAAGACTGTAAGGCACATGGTTTGGCCTGCAACCTCCATGCAGTCCCACATGGTTTCTATCCATTCTCCACACAGCACTCGGAATACAATCAGGAAAGAGTGGAAAAAGTCGTGCATGTGCCAGCGAGGGAGCACACAGTCACTTGCAATTTTGCAGACACATTCCTTGTAGTTTTTCCCAAAGAGCTGCATCCCAACCACAGCGAAAATGAACACGATGATGGCCAGCACCAGGGTCAGATTCCCCAGAGCTCCCACGGAATTACCAATGATTTTTATCAACATATTTAGTGTTGGCCACGATTTTGCCAATTTGAAAACTCGTAACTGGAAGGAAAGAAAAATATTGTTAGGAGAACCAGAAAGATACAAGGATATTTTAAAGTTAATTTGTGGAAGGATATTGCTGCAAAATATGCCTTTAGTTGGAGGGTATGATACCCTCTGGTAGTTGTCCAGAGGGTATCATCTTGTCTAAAAGCATGAAGATGGAAGTTTCCTTCAAGAAAAATTTGTAAAATTGTAATTTGATATTCTCAAAGCATAGCTTTTACTGAAGGCCAAAGAAGCTACTGATTTGAACTTAAAATCTAGGGTTCATCTTTAAAATAATCTGGACAACTTTTCAACTAGTGTTTGTAGAGATCTGTTCCTGTGATGCCAATTGGAGCATAATACCTGTAAAGAGTCAATTTATTTCTGCAGAGTGGGATGTTTAAAGTGTGTATATACAATGGATACATTGGAAATAGGCCCAGGGCACCCACTGCTATCTGTTCGGATCTCTGTCAATTCCCACTGAAGACTGTAAGACACCACAATTAGTAAGGATTTGTGCTAATGAAACTGTCCTCAGGATCGGTATCATGGCAAACATCAAGCAAATTTTTAAGACAAAAATAAAATTATTTTAATGGAGCCACATTGAAAAATCAGTACAATTCAAGTATATTTACCAATCTGAATGACCGAAGAACAGATAGTCCTTCCACATCTGCAAGACCAAGTTCAACCAAGCTAAGGGTTACAATAAAGCCATCAAAAATATTCCAGCCTTCCTGGAAATAATAGTAAGGATCCATTGCAATTATCTTGAGAAACATTTCTGCTGTGAAGATTCCAGTGAAGACCTGAGTTCAAAGGGCAGTTTGTTATTTCAAGGTGAAAGATAATACTCCAGATCTAGTTTAATTCAAGCTATGTCTTATCCAAAAGCAATATTTAAAAATAGTTACATTTACTGCAGTGATTTATCATGCCCACCTTCCCTTAACAAATGTCAGAAAACCAGGTAATTTTTCTATTAATTAAATGTATTACATAAACTTCTGGTTTATGGCATTTAAAGTCCTATTTCAACTTTCTAAGGATGTGGACTTTCTCGCATGCTGTACAAACAATGCCCCAAATTTGATTTTCGGGACACAAACCAGAATGCTTTCCAAGAAATTATATGGTATAGCTCTTTCTTGGTATACAAATTACAAATTAGGCCAAATCTAAAGACTACAGGGGGGCAGCTTCTTGCCTACTATGACCTGCTTATAATTCAGTTTAACAGAGCTGTGATTATTTATGCCAGATTAATAAATGGTGTATTATAATGTACCTTAGTTGATACAGCAACTGAGATACATTATGATGTGCTGAGATGTAACAATTTCCTGAAGCTGAGTAACTTCTACCTGGGTGTGCCCAGAAGCAGCAGCAAAGTTGGTTGGCTCAAACACTTCGATGCCAGGAATAAATAACAGAGTATTTAAGAATGCATTTTAAACAAAGTGCTGCTGGTAGTGGTTTCTCGTCATGAGTTTCTATGCTGAATGAAGTAGGAATTATATTTAAGACCCACCAAAGTAATAACCCTGAGTAGCTTTGAGAGAAGACTTGGGAGAATTTGTTCCAGGATAGGAAGGTACTAAAATCACTGTTAAAAACTGCTCAAGCCCTGCTCTGACAGGTTTTCTGGTTTTGGTTTGGGGTTTTTTTTCTGGTTTTGATAACCCATTTTTCAGCAAGCTGAAAAGAAAATAGGACAGCTAAAGAGAATAATCTAAGTGGGATAATCAGGAGAAAGGAAAGAAGTCTGACTTGCTCTGCCTAGGAACACCAATACTCAAGATAGATTATTACAGTCTTTAAATACACTCTAGATACAAACACCAGAGAGGGAAAGGTTACCAATTTTTAAGATGCAGGATTGGAATCCCTGAAAAAGACATAGCATTGAAATGCTGACAGGTTCCTAACAATCAGAACAGAACAAGAAGCTTTAAAGAGGAGCTACTGGAGCAGAAAACCTCTGAGATCCTCTCTATTGCAGAAGGGGTTTATGCCAGGGAGCCTAAAACTGGAAGAATGTGGTGCTTATAGACAGGTTATCTCACACTCCCTATGTAGTCAGAGGTACACTAAGATTTATATAGAATTTTCTTGGTTGGAAAACAAACCTATAAAATGCTACAATACAAGATTTTAGACTTTATTAGGAAACACAGGTTCAGCATTTCCCTTATATTATTTGAAAATCAGCTGTACAATTTTCTATTCATTCTCCCCCCTAAATTCTATAGTTATTTACATGATCTATTTGTTCCTCATTACAAAACAAGGATTATTAAAAAATCACATTATAAGAAATTAATTCTTAAGGAAGGAGATAAAGTAGGACTGTAGCTGCAGATACTTCTATGTGATCAAACCTGTCAGTTCAAAAGCAGGAGAGCTACAAAAAGTTAACTCATGAAATCTTTAATAATTTATATTCTTGAAGCAGAGAGAAAGGGAGAAAATACAGCTGACAAGACGAGGAAAATATATCTTACTAATTTTCAGAGGATAAAAACAATAAAAAATAGGAGAGGAAAAAGTACGGTGGGATATTTTTTTACATAAAGCATAGAAAGAAAATCCACTTATCCACATAAAAAGAATTTGCACAAGAAAATTCTAGAAATGCTTTTAAAGGGATCTTTTCACTATTGTAAGTTTCTGCTCAGGAAACAGCAATTAAAAACACATTCATAAATTAAAGATTTGTGTTGTATTGATTGAGAAATTAACACTGCATTTATTTGCACAGTGTCTGTTTCATGGAAACAATGAATTTCCTGGTTTAGCAGTTACACAAATCAAACTCTGCTTAAGATGGACTTTACTTAATGTAGCATTGGAGCCAATTTTTAAATTTTTAATTTGATTTTGCAGAACACAGCAGTATATTGATTTTACAGTATCCTAAGCTACATGAGTCAGGGTTGACAGTCAAATTTCCAAAAATGTTCTGATACTCATATCTGAAGGCAAATAAATATCCAAAAAGCTGTTAAAACCTTTTCTTTCTGTTATTACAGGCATATTTCCTTCCAAATAATGAATGTAAAGCCCCAACAAACTTACCAGATTTCCAACTGAAAGTACATTATTGAATTCGTCGGTCATTGGATAATGTTCCATAGCCATAAAGAGTGTATTTAAAACAATGCAAATTGTAATAGCCAGGTCAACAAATGGGTCCATTACCACTAAGTTGACAATATGCTTAACTTTTAACCAATGTGGACTGCAGTCCCAGATCAAGAAAATATTTGCAAATTTATACCAACATGGTGGGCATTTCTGTCTTGATTCTTCAAGTTCTGTGGGGAAAAGAAAGTTTATATATGTAACTATGTGATTTCTCTAACATTCCTCATTCCAATATGAATTGGAATGAGGAATGTTAGAGAAGAATGAAAACAGTCAAGTTTTCAGTCTGTAGTGTCACTGATTAACCTCCTTTAAGCCCCCATTCCACAGGGCTTTTAAGGAAAGCCTTTAAAAATTGCTGTTGGAATATATTTGCTATGTTCAAAGCTTATCTGTCAAGCACAACTTCTTTGTATTACAATCACTATGCCAATAAGTATCAATTTATGAATCAATTTGTATTATGCATTTAATTTTTCCTTGATTACACCTCAGCTTGCTTTTCCCACCTACTGTTCAAGTATGTAAATATTTTTATTCTGAAATTTGTAGCATTTAAGTGAAAATGTTCATTCTGAATTCAAGAAAAAAAACATTTTGATCACCTAGAATAGCTTTACAGAACAATTTAATAAATATAACTCCAAAAATGCACATATATTTTTAAAATAATTCCACATGTTTGAAAAATGTGGAATTATTCAGTGGCTTTTTTGTGTCCAATAATACATTTTAAATTACTGTGCATAAGCATCCACTAAGTTATGACCATGCACATGAGTTAGATGGAGACAAAACAATGAGATAGAAATGCTTCCTTATGTAATAACTTTAATGCTTAGTTATGTAATAACCTTAATAAATAAAGAGCTTTGAATTTACTGATAAATATATGTCAGTTTGTTGGATGTTATCTGTACTTAATCTATTTTAAATCTGTTTTCAAGTTTCAGCTCAAACTTTCAGAAGTCCGCAGGAAAAACAGGATTAAATATTAAGCTGTGCACAGCACACACCTTCCACAGTGTTTGTGAGGATGCTAGCAATACTCATGGCTCTTTCCCTTAAAGCTGGATCCTCCAGGAAGTCCATAGAAACGTGAAAAGAACCTGATATTCTCTTCCTCATTTCTGGTTCTGTCGTGGTGCCCTATAGAGAGAACGACAGTAGGTGAGACCACGTTGAAGATACAATCAGATAAGCAAATACTACATGAGCCTGTTAGTAGTGTCTTAGCTTGGACACGTGCTCCGTGCACTTCATATTTTATCATGTCGGACTTTTATTACTTTTTAGTACCTTTTAAATAATTTTAGAATTCCATTAGGTCAGAGGTCAAGATTGACAGAGAGTTTATTTACTCAATTTTTGCATTTTTTTCTTTAAGATATGAAAGGTCTTTAAACATTTAAACAAATTTAAACAAATGGAAAAGTGTTGAGTTCAAAATACTGCACAAAATTTTGCAAACTGTAATTTTTTTCCTTGCTCCTGTTGACAGCATATTCTACGGTTTGCAACATTATAGTATTTTCTCCTAATCAAACTGTAGCAAGTAAGAAAAGTCTGACTTCCCCATGCTTCCTCATGCTAGTCTTTTTTAGCAGTCTGAGTAGACAAATTTGAACTAAGCAAGAAATTTTTTGGAGACATTTTCTCTTACCTTTGTATGGTAAGAGAATGGCAGCAATATGTGCTGCCAATATGTTCACACAGGCATTTGCATTTTTAGAACTATGTATTGAACTTTGATCTTCCAATGAACTATTTGTTGTCTATCCTAAAATACTCCATCAGTAATGGATGGAAAATATATAAGAATTAGAAATAAATTGTAATAAGGAATTGACAACTTCCTTACATTTTTAACCAGGCGGATAAGGAAGAGTGATATCAAAATTAACTAATAATGCTAATTTTGATAGTGGTAATACAGCATCATATTTATTGCAGTTATATAACATTTTTGTATAATATTTTCCATTGTATGTCAACTACTATAGCTAGACGGACCTTTAGATCAGCTAAAGAAAAGCATGGCACACTAATACAGTGAAGCATAGCATTTTTATGAATGTGTAGGTTATTATTCTATTACTTGGTAACTGTGACTTGCATTTGTTAGTTATGTGAATCTTTGTAAGTAAATGCTTAGCTTGCAAACCTATCTTAGCTGTTTTATTTACTAAAGAGTTAACAAGATGCAGGAGCATTCATAGCTTGACCAACCAGGAAGCATTGCCAAGGGTTCCATTCTGTAGAAAACACTGGCTGGTGCAGTAAGAAAATGCCACCATGCCTGAGCTATTTAAAACTTTCTTACATTGTCATCAGTAGCTGGTTTATCTATTATCACCTCTGGCAGAAGCTGTCCAACAGGCGATGTAGGAACAGATGGTCCACCAACCAGGGAAACCACCCCATTGCAATCCACGGTGCTGTGCATCTTCCCATTCACTGGAAACACTGCCAGCATCCTGGATGACCTACTGGCCTGGCTGATGTTGCTGTTGCGCCGTTCTCCATGCCTGCGCGGCACAAAGAGAGAATCTCTTCTGCTGTCATTGTCTTCAAAAGTGCTGTGCTCATCATCAGCAAAGTCATTTTCTGATCCTACGTCCTTTGCTCGACCTCTGAAGCTGAAAAGACTTGTTCTGCTGTTGCGCCTTGGGGAAAACAGGGAGCCACGAATGCTCAGCAAAGACTGCAGGTAAATAAAATAGTGATTATTAGCTGAAATTCTCAAACTTAGCGCTGTTATTAGATTAGCATTGGTTTTCTTTCTTTCTTAAATAAGAATAACCATATTACCCAGAAGATACACGCTGCTGTGAAATTTTTGCATGTATTTCATTAGAGATATATCTTGCAGATAGAAGTATCACTGTTCATGGATTCTTAAGACAAAACCAGTACTGAACACTCCTTTGTCAGCTGAAGCTGCCAAATAGATTAGTTGCATAGTTCCCACCAAGAAAAAAAAGAAGTCCATACATGCACTTTGTTTCATGTATGAAGGATCTTGCCCATAGTGAACAAACATCATTGTTTGTTCATTGCTCAAACATTGGCTCAAACATCATTGAAACAAGAGGAAAATGTGAGGCTATCATAGCAGAAAAATACTGTAGCATTTTAACAAGTAATATATAATCATGCTGAAAGGAACCCTACATAATCAATCAGAGAATATTTTAATATGATTTCTAAATAATCCCATTAAAAGAACAGAGATATGAGGTTTCATTTAATTCTGAAGGTTTTTTTTACAAAGCAATCTAGCAGCTAGAACACTTCCTCTCAAGCCCTAGCAACACTAATTAAGGTAATAAAAGTATCAGTATTTCATTTGTTTATGCAGTAGCATCATATTACTGTACTTCAGGAAGACTAAAGTAGTTTTGCAACAGCCTATGATGCTTTAAATATATGCTTTTACTAAAAAAAACTATAGGCAATACCTGATGTGGAGAAGAATACTTCTTTTCGTATGTCAGTCTGTTGCCTTCAATAGACAATCGGAAACCTTTCCTTCTGATGCTGTCTTCTGATTCAGACTTGTGAAATTCGTCTTCATCTTTTTCCTCTCCTCCAGACTGTTCTTTCTGTTTCCTTTTTTTCCTTCTATTTCTCCTCTCTTTTGCACTCTTTGAGCTCAATTTTGATGCGTCTGAAGAGCTTTCTGAGAGCCCTCCTGCTTCTCCTGCAGCACTGGGCTCCCTGGACTCTGCAGATGCTGTTACTGCTGCTGCTGCCACCGCTGCTGCCTGCCATGATGCAGAAGGAATTGAGCAAACCATGACCTAACATTTTCCTTTCTTTAATTTACTTATACATACTTTCTACTCCATAAGTCCCAGTTCTTAACACTTTCTATAGGGTATCCTCTCACTAGGTTTTTCTTTTAATTATTATTAATCAGTTGACTCAAGATATGTGTTGGTCATAGACTTCTCTCATCCTTCATGAGTAAATTTTAAATGCAGAAATCTACCAGACTGCACTAATGGCACTAGACTAGAAAAACATAGTGAATAACCTATACCAAGTTTTGAATATACTCTTCTTCAGTGCAGAATAGAAAACCTCTGAGCTAATTCAGTCATTGAAAGACCAACAGGGTGCTTTATATTTCCAGTTTCAGACAGCAGAAGTTGAATATCTCTAGTAAACTCACTTCCTTACAGTCCTGCATTACTACACCATAAACGATACCTGTGCTGCTTCTTGTTGCTTCTTCAGCTGTTCCAGCATCTGTTGAAATTCTGCCTCCTTCTGCTCTGCTTCTTCAAGGGTTGCTTGGTTCTGTTCTTCATAGGCCATGGCAACCACAGCCAGGATCAGGTTGATCAGATAGAAAGAGCCCAGAAAAATCACCAGAACAAAAAATATCATGTATGTCTTCCCAGCAGCACGAAGAGTCTGGAAATAAGAATACATTTATAAGCAAATATATGTTAACAGTTCTGGTTTTCATACTGTTAAAATTCAGATAAGAAAATAGACTCTAGTCCTTTTGCATCACTGATACAAACATATTTGGTCTATTTTTCCTTAAAAATTTCTCACCAATTGATAAAGGTTTTCCCAGAAGTCCTGAGTCATTAGCCGAAACAGGGACAAGAAAGCCCAGCTGAAGGTGTCAAAACTTGTGTAGCCATAGTTGGGGTTTCTGCCAGCTTTCACACAAGTATATCCTTCTGGGCACTGCCTACAAAGACAAACTGGACATTACCTATTTAGTCATTTTAATATTATCAGCTGGATGTCAGTATATTCATATGTGCAGCCAGAACTGCAAAATAACACGTTTTGCCAGGTTTTGTCATCAGGTATTGCTCTTCCTTTACTTATCAGCCAGGCAGGAGCTATACTGATACTAAATTACTCATTCATCATGCAAACACTCGGTTTACCAGTCCACTGAGCTCTGATCAAGAATGCAGGTCTTAAGCCCAGTATAAAAGCCTTTCTTATGTGAAAGGAAGTGGTCACTCAAAATAAGTCCCACGCAAATTGCATATCTATGGAATGTGGATCTAATTTATACACAGTGCAATAACATGATGAAATAGTTCTTACCCAGCATCAGAGCTATTTCCACAAAGCAGAGCATCGTTTTGCCCTTCCAGAAAATAAAAGTGACCTGTTTCAAAAAGAATTTTAAAAAATATAAAATTCAAAACATAGCCATTATCTCTAAAAGTTTTAAGGTGATTTCTGATCCTATTTTAAACAAACAGTGCTATTTTCGCAGGACAACAGCTATAGAGTAAATGACATTATGAATTTCATTAGGCACTATTGCTTACAGCACTCAATGTTAAAATGCCAAAATTTACTAAAAATTCTGTCAAGTGCTTCTCCCTTCTGTGGATTCTCCCTTCTGTCTGATCACTGAACTAAACAATACTTTGTGAAACAACGTACAGTTATTTATTAGAATAATTACAACTGATCTGAAAAAATGATCCCATAATTTCTTCAAAACTTTCTGATCAGTATTGCCAGGGGTTTCAGTTTGTTGCTCACAAGCACTTATCACAGTTATCTAATATGCAAGCCCAAAAACCCACCCAGTTGCCACCTGTGGCTCTGATGGCCATGGGTGTGCACACACTGCAATTGTAGCTCACTGACTGTATGAAGCCCCTGACATACACTTAAATTCAACTCAGACATAATTACTGCAGCAGTCACAGCTTAAGATTTTTAAGAGTACATGACAAAATTTTTGAACACCTTAGTAAAATAAATTGGTTAAGTTCCACCAAATTACCCTGTAACCAATCATACCAATGTCTATACAGTAATGCCGTAGTTAAAGGACATTTTAGATGGTTTAAATAACAAAGACATTGACCTATCTCTTCTTACAAGAACAAAGAGATGAGCAAAACTTTGTGCTTATTAAGATTCATCTTGACTGTATCCTTGAGAAGTGTTTTTCTTTTCTGCTTCAAAGCAGATACCTACAGTCTTGATTGCTGAAGTCTTGATTTTTGGAAGAATTATCACAGGACAAGCTTCTCCTGTAATAACCATCTCGCATTTGGTCACAGGCATAAGGATGTTTTTTATACAGGGTCAGACCATGTGTCACATTTCTGATGGAATCCAAAAGTATTGCCTCAGGTTGTCTGCAAGGACAGGGCAGGGACAATGGCAACGCTCCTCTGAGCACCCCCCTAGCTCCAACACTTCTGAACCATAGCAGCTTGAGGATCAAGGTGGTACCTTTTTTGCTCCCTGAGACCATTTAAACCGCACGTTGGATTTCTTTTCCATTTAACTGTCCTGTTAGATTCCCTTAAAATTGTCTCATTTGAAAATGAGAGCAGGAGAGTTTCATCTTGACTCTGCCTGTGCTGCACAAGCCAGGCTACTAAAGGCACTAATGAATTCTGGGTCTGAGGAGGTGTCACAAGCTGCTGGCTCAGCACGTATTGATTTGCTGCAAGAAGAGACACAGTACCTGGGCCAGCTGCATCACTCCATCCTGTGAGCAAAATTCACCGTTTGGAAAAATGAGTCTTTAAGCTGTATGTAGACCTTGTTCTGACACTTTGCAAAGGATTAATTTTCAGTGTCTAATGATGTATCCACATCTCACAGGGAACAATCTCCTGTGCTGTGCCAATTGCACAGCCCTGTGTGTGGCTGCTGTCCCTCTGGGCTGGTGTGCATTGCAGAGCTGCTCTCTGCTGAAACACAGCTGTAAACAGAAAGTTGACAGGACGCTGGCCAAGCTGACCCTTAGGAAGCAAATTTTATTCTGCCTTATGTCAGCTAATCACGACTAAAACATGCTGGAACATAGCAGCTTGTTGGGAAGAATTCCAACCTGCCTTGATGTGGTTTACATGGAGAAGTCAGTCCTGATCAGCACTGCACCAGCTGAGCTGAGCTGCTACAGCAGGTCTGCATTCAGGTTCTGTGCTTCAGACAAGATGTGCCCTGCAAGGCTGCTGTACTTGCCAGCTCCACAGAAACTAGAGCCACACAGGTTTTCTGAGTGCACTGATACAGTTGGGCAAGTGCTCAAAATATTATCATGATAGGAAATTTTTTATAACACACAAGCTGAGCAGTATAAGCAGGTACACCAACCAAAGAGAAGCGAAAAATCCCTCATTACACCAGTGGTGTAAGTTTGGCTCCTCTTTAATTGATTGGGAAATGGGAAAAGCTCCTGGTAGGTGAGCATCTAACTTCAAGCAAGATTAAAGCTGTTTGAGTAAGCATAGGGTATAATATGAGAAGAACAGAGAATAATTGTTATTTCATAAAATAGATTGTGAGACGATTTTTCTCAGAAAAAAAATTGTTTATGGAAAGATTTTTAAGACAAACCTCAGCTTATCTGGAGCTAAGTTTATCAGAATTCTTATCTTGGAAAAATAAAAAGGAGTGGGGGGAAAGAAAGTGCTTGACTCATTAATGACAGGAATGCTTATGTAAAGACTCTCTAAATGGTGCCTCCAAAAATGAGCTCAGTGGTAAAATTAGGGTTTACATGCCTTTTTCTGCATAGTATGCACAAATAACGGCATAATAACTTCCATAATTCCTACAAAAGACGCTTCCATTGCACTGCTCGGAGCTGCAGGTAAAGAACATCTTATTGCCCTGTGAAGCAGCTGGTTTTTGCATCCTGTCTGCCCACCCACATGAAAAAGAGAGCAGGAAGCTGTGAGAAGAAGTCTCTTTGAAACTGCTGGTAAGCAAGGCCAACCTTATTAGTTCTAATAAGACTTCTAATTTCATTATAAATTTCATAATACATATGAAATTCTGTAAATATACCAAAGGCAGATGTAGCCATTCAACAAAGTACTTCCTGGAACCAATTCAATTGAACTTTATTTTCAGGGGGCTTCAGGTCTTCTTTAAATCAAATAAAATCAGAACTTAAGCTTATAAATTCTTTGTTAAAAAGTCAGGAAATTAAGTTTGGCCTTGAAGTCTAGGCCTTCAGTAGGAGACTACTTAGACTGTCATAACCCATGGCATGGGATCTCCATGTATTCACCTGTTCAAGTAAATTGAGTTTCACAGAAAGATTGGTTTAAGAAATTCAAATGGAAATCCACCATAGTCATTGATTAGCTGTGTGATTATAGTTAGAAGCTGTCTCACTTCTATTCAAAATTTGTCTGGCTTTGACTTGCAGCTATTGAACCTGTTATAGCTCTGCCTGCTAGATCAAAGATATGTCTACGATGAAAATTCTGTTCCCTGTGGATTTTTTTTCCTAACTGTGATCAAATCACCCCTTAAACCTTCTCTTTGATATGCTAAGTAGGCTGGGCTCCTGGTCTATCTTGGTATAAAGCATGTTTTCCAACCCTTTAATCATTCTGCTCTTTTTTGAACTTCCTCCATTTTTTTTCAACTTTCTATCTAAATTGAACTTTATATAGTATTCCAGTAGCAACTGCAGTAATGCTAAATACAGGGGTAATTATGTCTTCCTGGTCAATAATTTATTTATGTGAACAGGATATTATTTAGCTTTTTGGCTGCAGACTTTTAGCCTTAATTAGTCAGTCCTGGCTGCCCTGGAGTGCCTTAGGTGCCTCAGCCTCTATATTGTTCCCACTGCACTTCTCTATCCTGCCTTTCAGTTTCCCTGCAGCCTTACACATAAACTGCTGTGGCAATGTTTTCCAGAGCCTCTGTGGCACTATTTTCCCTGTGTCCTCATGTTGTTCTTTGTGTCACTTCTATTCTCATGACATGACACTGGCAAACACACAATTGCCACAGCAGGTGCTCACAGGAAGCAATTGTCTCTGGTGTGAGATTCATCTCTTTTTCTCCTCCTTTTTTCTATTCTTTGCTTGTGGCTTTATATTAAGAGACCTAAAAACATGCATGTACAAGCTTAAAAACCAAGCAGCTGTGCAGCACCCACTCTGATCAAAGGGCACTCCAATTAGTGCTAATAGCACTGTGAGAAGGAGCAAGCTCTAGGGAATTTGAGGAGATGCTAATGAAAACCACAGAAATGCTGTGGAAAAGTGTTGTAATCACTGCTGCGCTGGAAAGGATACCCAAGTGAGGAGATTCACCTGGAGACCCCACACTTGTCTTTGCAGCTGGTCACTGTAATCTCTTTTCTATCTCTCTCCCCTTTAGTTCTAAACATCTACAGTCTCTATGCAAACCTGTCTCACAACAAGAATTGTAAGCATTGAATTCTAAGACTTTTCTGTCTCAGGGGAGATGTGAACAAAAAGAGCTATTCCAAGTAGAAAGACCATGTTTCCTTGTTCCCTCTTCCATGCAGGCATTTAGAGCAGACGTATGAGAGAGAAAAGATTTCTGCTACTGTGTCTTAACAAAATGTATTGTCCTTTCCCTTCCTTCCTTCTAAGAACTGGGTCAGCCACAAACCAATTCAGTGAGAATTCTGCAGACAATACTTACTTTCATCTTCAATGTACCCCTTCCAGTCAAACGGAGTCACTGTTGAATTAAGCAATGTACCATTTTCACCTATGGTGCTGTTTAGCTGGGAAGTAATATTTGTTTCCAAAGTAAAATTTTCTGGAGGCCACTGCAGGCATTTATTCCTCAGGTTGCCCATGAACAGCTGCAGCCCTATCAGTGCAAATACACTCAGACAAAACACAGTCAGGATCATCACATCCGAGAGCTTCTTCACAGACTGAATCAGGGCTCCTACAATAGTCTTCAGGCCTGCAAATGGAAAGGAGTTTTTATTCTGATGTTGGAAACTTTTTCAAAGCATAAAAATTACAATGTCTCCCAGTAAAGTTACAGATTTCATGCAAAGCCCAAAAACATGATTGTAATGTCTGTGAAACAACATTTTTGTGAAGAGCTTTTTCACTTGTGAAAATGAATAAACAGCTGAAATTTATGTCCACTTGAAACTGTGAATGGAATGAGTTGCATATATTTCAAAACAACTTGTTTCAATGATAAAACAAGCAACTATTTTTTATTCATGCTGTACACTGATCTCACATAAATATCTTCCTTCTTTTCGTTTGTCAATACATCTTGCTCCAAACCTTTACTACTATCAGTTTTATAACATACTAGATTTAGAAGACAGTAGTAAAAAGCCTGTTCAGCAATAAATAGGATTGAAATTTAATGCTATAAAACTGGAAATGGTTTGGAAAATTATAGCATTTTAAGATAATAAATCCCCCATGCAACACCCATGCTATTCTTTATTATCTTATTCCTTCATCTTCTTAGTAAGTCAACATTTCAAACAGTTTTCTTTTTTAGACATAGATATTCACAAAAAATACCACATAACATCATGTAGGTAGGATACACATGGGTAAGAAGAGTTTAGGGTTACTAATACTCATTGAACGTGGAGAAGAAAGCTTGACGTCATACGATGCAAACCACACACACTGTGTACTGCAATGTCTCATGCAAGAATCTGTTAAACTCAAAGGCTGATTTCAAAAGGAAAGTGCTCATTTTCAAAAGCAATGAATCAGAGATCTCAATGAATCCTGATATCTTCTGATTCCTGCTTTTTTTGTGGAAAGAAATAAGAATTATATTTAAAAAAATATGAATTCTGGTTCATTGAATTAATACATACCTGTAGGATTAAATCACAGTTATTCAGAATTTAGGCAAAGTTTATGCTACTTGCTTGGGTCTTTCATCAAGACCGCTTTGGTGTTTTTAGCAAAAATTTAAACAGCAACAGTCAGAGGTTTACCTTTCACTGCAGTTTGCCTTGCATTAATATACTTTCAGAGCCTTCAGCTAAATTAAATGTCTCTGAAGTGAATCGCACTGATTTTACTTTGAAAGCCTAAAATTTATCTAGACTAGATTGGTAAGTTTGGAGAATGAAGTCAAAGGGAAGCTCCTTTTCTGCTCAGAAAAAAAAAATAAAAAAAAGCAGGACATGAAATTAGCCTCTCTAATACTAGCTGTACTAATGGCTTCTGCAGTATTTATGTTTACATCAAAATACGCATTTTTGAAAGTGAAAATTGTTTTAGACAAAAGTAAGTCCATAAAAGAATTTCCATTTAACAAAATTGGTATGTATCGATACTAATTTCATGCCCTTTTTGCCCTTCTCTTTCCAAGAAAAAGCAAAAAACAAGAACTTACGCAAAGGTAATGACAGTGAAATCAAGCCAGTTCCACGGATCTCGAAGAAAAGTAAAATCTTCTAAGCAAAAGCCCCTTGCAATGATTTTTATTAGTGACTCAAATGTGTAAATCCCAGTGAAAGTATACCTGAAAAATATAGGAAAATTTAATCAAAATAAGTAGCAATATTTTACATTGGTATTCTGACAGAAATGTTATGATCAAATGAAACTTTTATATTTCACAGCTGGAGAAGAAATACAGTGAATAAGCAAGGCTGCAAGCACGCACTGAATTCTCATTCTCACTTCAGTAATACTTTTGCTGTATGCTGCTCTTAACTGACATGAACATTGAAGTGCCCATGGTTCTGCTACTAATGCAGTGGTGTAAGGAAGGGTAAAAACAATGGGTAGATGCTAAACCATGGCAAAAATGAGTGGAATCTCAGTAGAATACTATCTGTAAACTATTTTCATGGTTTTTCTACCCAATTGTTCTACTAAAATGAGATTCAAATCATTATTCAACATTTCTGCATAGTTCAGAGAGGAAACAGTCATAGTGCCTCATGATAGCTCCTGTTAGCACATCTTGCACTGCAGTTACTGGCATGGTAACTCCTAGAGGAAAAGACAAAGATACATTGAAATAATGTTTAACTTACTCTACATTCTTTGTCCAGTCTGGAGGGTTACTCATGGTCATAAATACGCAGTTGGTCAAAATAGTGCACATGATAAGCATGCTGAATAATGTAGGTGCAGTTAAGGAAAACACAGTAGCTATTCACACAATATCACATCAGTCATGGCTTAAGTACAGGAAAATACTGCCACTTAAACAAAACCTTTAGACTTTGGAAAACACTGACATATGCTTTGCTTTACCTCATATTTTTCACTTTAGTACATTAGACTTTAATACTGGTCTGGATTTGTTGACACTCTGATGTTGCTTTGCTGGTGTCCTGATGTTTTGTTTTCAGCTGGTCCTGAAAGGAGATGGCTCTCACACCCTGGGAGGTAACCAAAATAATTTGCAGGAGTATACAGTTTGCCTTCAGTACCTGGCATGACTGAATAAGCGTTAGTCTTTCACTTCTACAGGCTTGGTACTAAAATTAAGAGTTGGCATATGCAAGTGAAAAAAAGTTTTCTCTATTTACCCAGAGTCAGAACTGAGCGAGTCAGTACCCAGCACAGCCAGTCTGTTGAAAACACAGAATAAAACATAAAGTTTTTAATTGCTGAAGTGAGTGCATTGCATGTTTCCCTAACACCAGCTTAATGCTTCAATCAGTGAAGCAGAAATCCATAGAGAGCTCAGAGATTAATGTGAATAGTTTTCCAGTATCACTTTTGGTCTCTCTCAAAACCCAGCAAAATCAGTGTATCTGTTTCTACTAATGCTATAATTTGAAAAGGTTTCAATATTTACGTCAATTGCATGAAAAGCACAGAAAACTGGTGAAGATTAGAATGAAATTAATTTTTATTTGATGTTCCAGCAAGGAACATTTAGGTACTTTGGGACTATGAAACCCAGGCCCACAGCTCAGAGGGGCTGGTTCTAGGGAGGTGGGACAATCCACTGGGGCTTCATGACATTCAATGCAATGTTCTTTGTCCACCAGATCACTGCCTCTTCAGACTGTGCAGTTCTTCCCTTTTTGTGGCAATAACTTCAAACATTTGGAAATACTGAAGTAACCAAACTAGATGAAAACCTGACTCAAAATGGCCACATGATGGCAGCAAAAAATAAGCGCTGCTACACATTTATACCAAATGGTTAATTTATTTTTCCTCCACTCATCTCTCTAAATTATGTATTCCTTAGAAGTCCTTGCATCACCACAACTGGCAAAGAAAATGGTTTAAACTAAAGAAAGCTGTTTACAGCTAAACTTGTATCTGAGAGCCCAGGATTTAATTTTTTTTTTAATCAAGTAGATAGCATTTGGTTGTTTCGGGTATATTTTTATACCACTGACGAAAAATGAAACAAGAAAAGTAGTATCACGATCTAAACTTCTCAGAAAATGGCTACAATTATTAAGATTTTTGCTTAGAGCAGCTGAAAAATTAGATCTTTAGCATAACTTTTCAATAAACACTCAAATCACAGGGAAGGAATTAGCTGCCTGATTCCCACAGACAGGTGTGTGCCTTTTCTCTAAATGGCTGATCCAGCAGCGGACATTTTGGCATATTTCAGTAAGTGACTTAACTAGTTTTGAAGATCATGTTGCCATACAAACTCTGTAGAGTAAACATTGTTCAGTGCCTTAGAATAAATTATTAGAATGCCTTACAGTGTTTGTCACCACAATCCACAGACAGGTCTAAAGAGCCTGCTTTAATTTAATTAGGAAACTCCTTTAAATATAGAGAATCCATTCTGAATCCAAGTCGGAGATGTGTGGCTGCAGTTTCAGTCATCTCATGAAAGAGTTAGAGAAGTGCAATGTGCTCTTAGGAGAGCTGGGGTTTTACCCTGTGCAGTGTGTTGTGAGATTTCAGCTCCAGGTACCATTCATATCAAGGGCCACAGGTAGGTCCTTGCACATTGCTCACTCTTTACAAAACCTGGCACATCTGGGAGCCAAAAGTTGCCAAAGTGCTGTTCGCTCTGAAAGGGAGCAGATGCTCATTAAGGGCTAAAATACTTAGAAATATAGACTGCCATTTCTCTTAACTGGCACATTCAATGTCTATGCATCTCTTCTGTCCTATCACACATTTTGAGTGATTGATTTACAAGCTCAATATTCCCTTAATTTACTATTTTATGTTCTATAACAATTCAACTATACACATAGACAAAAAAAAAAATCTGATCTATGATGACTGCCTTTTTCATGCTCTTCCCATACAGTCATGCAGAGGCACCACACAGCCTCAAGCTAATCGATTAAAGGAGCAGCTGAAGTCTCTTATCACCTGTGTGGATTGGTGGAAGATGAAACAATTGGGAAAAAAAACAAATATTGCCAAGTGGTTTCACAGATACCGTCTGGCAGTCAGGCCACACTGAGGAATACTGTAATTTAAGCTTCCAGAGCCTTGCACAGGAGCACTTGCACATTTTCCCTAGAGCACCTCCTCAATCCTTTCTAACAGAAATCTCTAACATTGCAGCTCCAGCCACTGCCACCTCCCTTTTTTTTGAGTGCTCAACACTCTACTTATTCTCACCTTTTCATTCTTTCCTATAAATTGCTAAACCCTGGCTATCTCCCATCACTCTTGTGCTGCCTCCTCAGTTCTATGTTCTACCTTAAGTCTAGTCAGGCAGGCAAAAGAGAAGAGGGAAAAAAATAAAAAAGCAGACTACCAGGAGATGAGTCAGCAGAGAGAAACTCATGCTGTTACCAGTTTCTGCATTCAGTATTACAGTGGTACTGGCAGTGAGAATAATTGCAGAGAAAGTCTGGGAGCACTGGAAAGAGACACACTCTGTTTCTCTGCAGGGCAGCAATATCTGCTCACGTGTCTGGGCACATGTGATCAGATCACCCTGTACAGAGGTTCAGAGAATCTGGAGGACAGACAGATGAAGGTTTTCTAACCAATGTGCTAGTTTCATTGTGCTCAACACTAGACTTTAATCACACTGAAGGCACATTTCTGTGACAAAGGCCAAAATGCCAAACACCTGCCACAAAATGGGGAGGAAATAGTTTGTCTATAAAAATCAGAGGATTGTTAAAAATAATAATGAATTTTACCCCTCATCTTTTTTATGTAGGTAGCTAATCTTGTATAGGCAGCTGAGATTTGAATTGTAAAACGGAACATATTTTATGGTTCTTAGTTAAAACACTTCAATATTTGAAGTGTTTGTACTATAATGAATAATACTAAAAAATTAGAAAATTGCAGAACCTGCACATCTATTCTTATGTTTTAGATTAAATAAAACCAATCCTATGCCTATATCTAAGACAAAAATAGCCCCTGCAATAGTTAGCTGGCTGTAAGAAGAAATCAGTCCATATACTGAAAGAAAATTTCTTCCTATGATAGAGTTAAATTGCACAATCAGTTCATAGGTGGAAGGAAAAATACTGAAATTACATATTGTCTGTTGGAATTTCTTTTGTTCTTACTGTCATCAAGACCAGCTGGATACTCTTTGAAGACAATTAGCAGAAACTTAAAACCAAGACCAAACTCAGCAACCAATATGCCAGTGAAAAGCATTACCCACAGCTGAGGCAGATGCAGTGTTGGAAGGTACTGCAAACCAGTGTCATGTGAAGGAATGAGCTTTCATTGGAGGCTGCAATCTGACAGAATTTGGCTGTGTTTTCTCACCATCACCACCACTGTGTCTGTAGGTCTCTGTCTCCTCTTAGCTACTGTCCCCAAATGCTCCCTAACTCCTCTCCAGCCTGACACCTTCCTTTTCTCCCACACTGTTTTAACTTCCCAGGAGTTCAGAGTAAAAGGTGTTCTGAGCCAGCAACCATCAGCCTTGTTTCTTACTTTTTCCAAAGACCTAGAAAATTCTGCCAGCAGTCTCTATTAATAAGGCTTCTGCCTTTCACTACTTGTTCACTGTTAAAAGTCTTACTGTCACACTGAAATTTTCATTTGATAACTACATTTCTCAGTCCTGAGGTTCTGCAAAAAACCCGAACTGCACCAAAACCTCACCCACTAGAAATTCCCATCAACCTGTTAGGACCATCAGGCAGCAATCCCCCATGTCAGTCTAGAACTTTACCACGTGCACCATCCCATCAGTGATGGTCCCCCAATCTGTCCACCATCTGCAGGATGTACAGATGCTTTGCAAGCCGCCTGCAGGAATGCTGCCTATGCTTTCTGGCAATGTGTTACATTTGGCAGAGGCTTATGGTGCAACTGGGAGGGTTTGGGAATGTGAGAACCAGTCTGCACCAGCCAGGCTTCAGGCACACTGCTGCAGCAGGCTACAAAGCTGATCTTGAGGATAGCCCCACAAGGGTCCTGAACCTTTATTTGTGATGAAATCATTATCTGTTTTCTTCATTTCATTTTGAACAACCACTAAAAAAGGATATGAATGTACCAAAATTTTAATAGCTATTTTTCTAAGAGGGTTGAAGGGTGTTAAAATGTACAGGGCAGAGGTGGCACTGAATCGGAAGATTGCCTTCCCTTTATTCAATACTATAAAGGTCTGAAAAAGAGAAAGAAAAGACATTTTATCAGAGTTTATTCACTGTAGATTCTCATTTAAAAATGGTGACAAGTAAGCAATCACCAAAATTGTAAATTTTTGAACAGTTAATACAAAAATCACAAATAATTTTTCAAATAAAGATTATTTCCAGTACTTACCTGATGAATCTAACATATGAAAATGCAATAAATTCAATTCATTAATGTTTTTGTTTTACATCTTAATTAAACAAACTCAATAAAGTAATATCCCTTTTCATGTGTTTCTTGTAAATAAAGATGTATAAATTATTAACTGAAATTTTAATTTTATTTATGTTTTCCCCCAGGAAACTCTCCCTGTTTGAAATAGCACAAGCAGGGTGTGGTGGTGCATTCCCTCCCACTCTTTTCCACACTACTTGTGGACTTTATTGATATATTAGTCTTACTAACTGGAAATCCTTCTGGAAACTGATTTATTAGACTATACACTTGTGTAATTTTTGGGATTTTGTGCTAAGGAGAGAGGGAAATAGCAGTAACATATACAGCCGTATTTAGGTAGGTCTCTGAGTACTGGAAATCTGAATATACCTTACTGGAGAAGAGCAAAAGACAATCCCAAATTATCCTCCTGCACAACTGTGGTTTCTAGATGTGAAAATTTCCCAGAAAGCACATTCTTTTAAAATTTAACTTTTAATATCTATGGAGCTAATCAAATTTAGAGAAACTTGCAGGCATTCAAGCCTTACTTCAGAGGATTGTAGAAGACCTTGTAGGTTAAATGTCTCAACTAAATCCATGAGCCAAAGACAAACAGTATGAGAGCAAACCCTGCAAACACTGCTTTGCTCCACTGCAGGATATCACGGCTGCACCTGCCCTCGCACTACAGCACACAAAATGTGGGATGTCGGGTTCTTTTGTGTCACTAAGGTGCTCTTCAACTGCAAGATCAATCAGAAGAGAATGAAAAACAGCACAGAAGGAAAAAAAGGCTCAGTAACTCAGAAAAAATCTGCACGTGAAAGGGACGATGCAAGAATAATAACCTAAATTCAAGTGAAATTAAAGGAAAATTTCCTAAATTTCTTTTCTCATTTTTTGTTTTTTCCATTGTCAGAGTTGTATATTTTGTGCATAAGCAATGAGAAAGCCTCCCTGATTTTTGTAAAAAAGATCCCTGATGTTTGCTGATGAGATGAGCTGTAAGCTAGAATTCCAGTGGTATCGTGGGTGAGGGTATGCTGGTTTCATCTGGTGTCCATGACATCAAGTATTGCTTCAAGACTGTAAGCAGTGAACTACATGACTATTTCCAGGAAGGCTGGCAGACAGGGAAAATGTGCCAAGGAGGTTCAAGGAGGACAATGCTTCAGTCTGGTGTGATTTGCAAAGTTTAGAATGTATGGACCGTGAGGTACAGCTACCAATGTCTAGAAGGATGCAGAACGTGGAGAGAGATGTGGAGATGGGGCTTTACTGAAGACAGAGGAGAAGCAAGGATTAAACTGTGAGCAAAAGCTGCTTCAGTCCCAGTGGCTTCTTCCCTGAGCTGTCCCTCCATCACAGCTCTACACAGAACACCTTCTCCTTCAAACCAAACCCCCTAGGAGTAAGGGACACTACCAGGCAGACTTTACTCTGTCTTGAGTACAAATTCAACATGTGTAGGAGTGTATAATATATGTATATGATTTCCCAATTCTGCACAGGAATGGAGAAACTGCATGTGAAGCTGAGGACGGCCTCAGCTAATGTTTCAAATTACACATCCAGTTTGGGCTTACAGGTAACAGCCTGCAGATGACCTGACCTTACATGAAGCCTTCATTTCAACTCCTGAACCAACCAACCAGAAGAAAGACTTTCTGGCACAATGTTTTAAAACCTCACACGCCAAGGGGGAAGGTGAATTTCCTCTGCCAGGTCTGTCCCCAGCCCCCAGGACTCACATCTCAGACGCCTCCAACTCATGCTCTTTTTTGTAGTTATGAGGTAGTTGACGAAATGCATTAAAAATCACACTTCCTACTAACTCTGTATTTAAGACTACTGCACCTTCATTTAGTCAACCTACATTTTTTAAAAAATCTTTGAACACAAGCATATTAAACATACATCTATTTTCTTACATGCCTTATGGAAAATAACAGCATGCTGGCACAGTTCCAGTTGGAAGCTGCTGCTATTTTAGCTGTTCTACTTTCTGCTGCCCTGCATAAGCAGAACGAACAAGACATAAATTCCCTACCTCAGTTTTAATTTTTCACTCAAAGCATCTTTGTGACTTGAGCTTTCAGAATGACTTTGTTGGTCCTGTAACATCTAGCCTTAAATATGAATTAAAACTGTACCTTATTTCTGAAGGAAAATTTTAATTAGAAAGTACAGGTAAGAGCTGATATGCCCTGTGTAAGCTCCCTGCTATGCCTGCTAAATCTCACTCCACTCTCAACCCAGATGCAAGCCAATGTGTAGGCAGTGTGGATGAACATGAAGAATTGTACCCAAAACTGTCAGCACAAAGTAGACATACACTAAGAAAAGCTAGATAAATTCTAAATAAATTTTTATATGAAGGATTATGTATAGACTTCAGGCCTTATGTTTTATTCATTTTTATAAAGGCACAAAACCGACTCACACTCAAAGTGTTTGATTGCAAATATAAATTCAGAGTTCCCTGAAAGGAAGTCCCTCATTTGCTGCTTTTGTATCTGTAACCTAAAACCTAATCCATCTTCTGCCATATTGAAATAAAGCCAAAAGCTGAATTCTTAGCAGGGAAAAGGAGGAGGAGTGTTTTGAGAAGATGTAGCTAAGAGAGAAGAGTCAACACTGAATAAAGATAAGGTCTCTGAGAACCTCTTGGGATAAGGAGTTCCCAAAACCTTATTTCTCCTCTCCTTCCTCCTAGTTAGATTTAAATGTAGTTTCTGGAAGGCTAGATTTAGTGCACTTTGTGCTACTCCACTGCATTTCCACCTTCTGAAAGACAGGAGCAGGATACAACATTGAGCTGGGTCCTCAGCTTCTCTGGAAAAGCTCCTGCAGCACCTGGAACAGGACACTCATGGCATATGAGAAGTTTCAGTTTCTTGGGCTTGTGGTTATCTTTTGAAACAATGTTTTCTAGCAAGTCCTTTTTTGCTTTGCTAAAGCTTTTAACTTAAAAATTATTTCACAACTATGAAAATATCCAAAATCACTACTGTATGGAACTTTGCTGGTGTAATAAATTGAAGCAATTTTACAGAATCTTTTTGGGTTTTTTTGCAATCCAAGACACATCTGGGAAATCCAGGAGTTAGTGATTTGATCAGATTAGGGACTGATATGGAATGCCAGGAGACAAGGAGGCATCTTTGCTGACAGACATCATTCAGATGGCAAGAGGCAGGGCATGGAGTGGCAATAAACAATGTTATGTCTCTATCACAGCAGGAGGAAAGTGAAGTTTTACCCACTTAGTTCCATTTTTTCTGTCCCTCCTCTTTAATGTAGCAGCCTGGGTTCAGAGGAAAAGAGCCAGCCCTAAAGTATGAAACCAAGTGGACCAGATTTTGATTCATGCCCGCAGGTCAGGATCTTAGGGGATTCCAGCTGCTCTGTTCTCTACAGACAATGAAGTGAACATCACTGATCCTTTGTGATGGCAGCCTGAGCATGAGCAGGCAGGCACTATTATACAGGGAACACACAGGTTTGCACTTATACAGAAGCAGAACACAAAACATGAGTGAACTTCCTGCTCACTTTTAATCAATTTTGGATTAAAAAAAAAAAATAAAAGAAAAAAGACTGTTGCAACCCTTTAGGATGCTAAATCTCATGGTTCTAAAGACCAGCATTATTGGCCACCACAGTCAGCAGCATTTCATATAATGAAATTGTAATATGAATCGTATAGGACAACATTATTCTATTCTTTTACAATAAAATAATTATGTTTCAAGGGTACAATTGCTGGCTTTCAAGCTATTTGTGATACAGTGTAAATCAAAAATATGATCAAGTGTGTAAACCTGCTGTAATGGGCTGTCCTACTGTCAAACAGCAGTTGTCAATATTTTCCTTTTCCTTTCAACTTCAGATTAGTATTGATATACTAATATGTATGTATGTATACATATGGATATGTATGAATATGTATGTATACATATGGATATGTCCTCTTTCATGGTAGGTTTTACATAGAAACACACTTACAAAACCATAAAACTATTATACCTATTTGGGTTTTCTTCTCTTAAAATATGTTTTATTTTAACTTTTCATCTCAAGCCTACTTCAGGCACAAATTAAGGCTCTCAAACCAGCTCAAAATATGTATTTATTTCTGTCTTATTCTCTATTAAACTGCATCAAATAATGGCATGCACAAACCTTTTGCTTAGAAAAAGTAGTCCCAAGGATGGAACATAAAACACTCTAGATGACATTTAAACATTCACTGCATGAAAAATACAGTGAGTTTGATCAATCTTGATGTAAAGAATGGGGGGGGGGGAACCCAAGAGAGATGCAATGTTTGCATATAAGGCAAATAATGGATGACTTCATTCATGACCCAAGCTTGTAATAAAAAAATATTCCTAAAATTCCTACACAGATTTTCCAAATAAACACCAGTTCTGTGAGCAACCATTTGTGTTCCTTATTTGAAAGTTTGAAAGCCAAATTGTTTGGTGGTTTCTGTCAACAAATCAGCTACAGTTTATGCAGAGATCTTAACAGAGCTCTGAAAAAAACAGTGGCATCTGGTAATCCTCTACATTTGCCCTAACCCTTTTTGCAAATAAGCATTTTCCTTTATTCTGGTGTTTTTCATTAGATCCATGACATTTCAGGCAGATGCCTCACCAGGGAGAAGCACAACATCTCTAATGATTGTGCAGCAGTTTGGGGAGGGTGTGCTGATGGACTTCTTGGCTTTACAAGATGAAATTCAGAGAGGGGTAAAGAAGAAGCTGAAATGTTAAGCATTACAGAGATAAATACATTGAGCATTCCTGTGTGTCTTCCTAGAGATGTTTACTCCTGCTACAAGCTTTTCTCAAATTATTTCTCCTTCTGAGACTTGCAGTAGCATCAACTGCTGCCAATAGTTTCAAGATAAAAGTGAAACAAGACATAAGTACTTCCAGAATTCACATACATAGATAATACAATTTAGAAATTAGATATTTTAAAGGAGAATTATAGGTGAAAAATTGAAACAGGTGTTGATTTTCTGTTAGGAACATCTATTTTCCTCTTACTGAGGGAAGAAAAAGCAGAGAGAATTGAAGCATTTGAGAAATTTTTGCCTTGTCTTAGACTGACAGGGCTGTTTCTATTTCCGTCCTGTAGAAGACTAAAGCACGTGCATAGAGAGAATATGTGGACTTCAGCAGAAAGAGGAGAATCCCGGGGAGGGGGGGATGTGTTTAAACCATACATATTTAGTGTGCAAGTAAAAAGATTCTTCCTTTCAAATAGTACAGAAATTTGACTGAATACGCTCAGATGGTTTCTCTCCATTTCTTGCAATTCTATCACCAGACCTGGCTGATTTAGTAAGTTTTTGTGAGAAGGGACTAAAGGGACTGAAAGAGTCTTCCATTCCCAAGGGCTTGAGAGGCATATCTATCATAGGTCATATGTGTCATGTATCTGTTTTCACTGCCAGAAACATAAGACACACTGATTTGGCTATAAAGGTCCAGGATGAGCTGTGGGCAGGTAGGGATAAAATTATATGGAATACTGTATCATAAACAGACACAATTAGTACAGAACTCTACAAGGCCTGCTTTTATAGAAACACATCTTTTATCTTTGTAAAAGTAGAACTGTGATTTAAAGATAAATCTTCATATGCTGTGAATGGCAGATAAAGGCCCTTTCAGAGGCACCAGATAATAGAGATAAAAAAAATTTGTTCGTTCACACAGTATTTTCTCTCTTGTCAAAATAGGACTCATAAATCACATGAAATTTAGCAAGCTGAGACACTTAGAACACAGTAGGTTGTGAAAGTCAAAATAACTCTTATCTTAATATTGACATTTTTACAATCAGAATGCAGTGAAGTATCACCCAATCTAGCTACAGCTATAGAGCATGAACTTTTTCTGCCACTTATAGGCTGTGCAACAGGATCATTCTGAAAGGATTCCAGGCCTGCCCAAAGCCAGTTTCACTAAAACTTTAAACTCAGTTTCTATACTCTTTTGTTACATTCACTGTTTATCTATTTGTTTCCCTACTGATTCCATAAATTTTCTAAGCATTTGCTGTCAAAGCAGATTGCTGTGAACAAAACGTTCTATGGATCAGTTCATCCTGTCAGTTTTAAGTTTGAAGAACCTTAGAGAATTTTGGTGTCCTCAGTATGAATGTATGTTCATTTTTAAGAAGTTTATAGAGTATATATGTATTACATATCCACATGTTTGTATAGGTATTACATATTGCTTGTAATCAAAGATCATATATTATGCTTCAGCTTTGATATAAGTGTTTCTTTGATATAAAGTCAGTTATATCAAGAAAATAAATGTGGCGGTAAATTAAAATAAATGTGTAAGGCAAATGGCTGGAAATTAACATACTGAAGTAACAAGCTCTATGATCCACTCCAAGAAAACAAAATCAGCTTGATAATGCACTGTAAACACTGGCACATGAACAGGATTGATATTAGACTCACTTTTTTATTGATGTAATATGGGTCCATGTCTTCCAAGGGCTCAGACACCATTCCTGGAGGTATGTCACCATATATAAAGGGGAGTGTCTTTCCTGCCTCCAAGTCACTGTTTGGTTTTGGCCCATTTTCATCATCGTCTTTGCGATCTTGTTTAGGGTTCTTGGCTTTTTCTGCAGCAATGCGCTGTTCAATAGCTGCAAGAGACTCTCTAGTGAAGTATTGGAAGCTGTCTGGTCCTGGTGGTACAAGCACTGACTGCTCCATCTTTTCATCCTGCACATTTTAATTACCATTTATTCTTCTGCATAGGAAAATACTACAAGAAAGCAGAAAATAAAATTCAAATAAACATGTTGAAATCACCAAGTAAGAAAGATGTAGTAGTTATTTTCAAGTGCAATTGTTTTTGCTATGCTGAATTGTTAAAATACACAATTTGAAAATTATGTAAAGAAAGAAAAAGTAAGCAGTTTAGTCAGTGATTTGGCAATTGTAAGAAGCACTTATGTTGTTCTTACACTAGTTACTAAAACTGTAAAAATTTCTCAGCTTCAGGATATGCTAGTCATTTCCTCCAAATAAGGAAAAGTATGATAGTTAAGAATAATCAAATACATTCTTTCCTCATAACTCTAGTTATATTATTATCACACTCCTCTGGAATCAATCAGGATTACATTGGTAACTATAAATAGAACAGTTCAATGGAGCTAAAACAGAAAATTTCACTGAGATCAGCAAAAGTGTCAGAAAACAAGCACTGTAAAACCAGAACTTCCATTTTAAAAAAATCAAGTCTGTATATTATGAAGTATTAATGATTCCAAACAAATGTTTGTATGGGAAATTATTTTAGATAAGAAGAAGAGTAATTGCCCAGTATTATTTCAGTTTAGCTGTTACTGTGTCTGGTTCTTTATAAAACAGCTGTAACTGGAAAATTCTGGAAGTATTTTAATATACATATTTATTTATACATTGCAATTGCAAAAATAAACCTGTTGGGAAGAAAAACAAACAAAAAACCAAACCAAACCAAACCAAAACAAAAAACAAAAAACAAACAAACAAAAAAAAAAAAGAAGAACAAAGAAGTGGTGTTAAGACTACAGATTTGGCATCTTCCATGCTGCTGAATAAATTTCTGATGACACCAGACATACAGATGAAATGCATATTTGGGCTCACAGTGGTGCACATATCCCTCATGCCTGAATGCAAAGAGATAAATGCAGTCTCCACCCATTGCAGAGTTCCTTATGAAATGATCAGTCAGTCTATCAAGAGACTCAAGGGCCAAGGCAGGTCAGCAGTCACTGAAATAAGCCAGGGATACGGAATGAAAGAGAAGTAAGGATACTGCAGTAGGTAGAGGGTTGGGGGAAAACACATGAAAACAAATTAAAAAGTGACAAAAAACCCTGGGAACTGAAGAAAGATGCTGGAAATTAGGAAGGAAATAGATACAAAAAGTGGCTCAAGAGGTTTCTTCAGACGACTGAAGAATTAAGGAAGAAAAAGAAGAATGCAAAAAGTTTTTTTTTTAAAAAAGGAACTATGGAAGATTAGCAATATAAAAATGACATGAAAACAAAGAAAAATAAAACATGGGTGGAAGAACAGATTACTGGCAAAGGAGCAGAAAGGTAAGCAAATACAGACAGGGCTAACTTTCTAAGTAAAAGTCAATATGGAAAATAAGCAACTAGATGACAAATAAAGGGAGAAGAAAGAAAAAATAAAGCTGGGAAATAAAGAAGAAGGTCACCAGATTATATCTAGTAGTAAAACTAAATTCTCTTGATCAGTAATGCCAGGGTGAGCACAACATCTAAATCACATATTTGTAGTGAGTACTAGAATATAATGAATAAAACACGAAAGAAGGGTGAAGTGCTTATGGTCTTCACAAACCTAAATGCTTTGATTTTTAAAAAATGTTACCCCCCCCCACCCCCCATATTTCACACAGGTACATAAGATCATCACCCACAATTGCAGGAATGACTTTCAAACAATCAAGATGCAAGTTTCTCACTGTAAAAAAATTAAAGTGAGCTGATCTCACACCAAACACTAAGTATTTACCCATGTAAACACTCATGCCAAACCAGTTCTGTACTGCTTCCCTTCTTTCCCAGGGAAAAGGAATTATACTGTTCTGTTCCCATTTGTAGGAGTGGGGAGGATATAAGAAAATGTACCTCAGCCTAAAAGAGATTTAAAATCTTGCCTTTCTCCACATAGAGAGTATCCCCTAGACAGTCCTCAGCTCCCTATGTCATGGTTCTGTTTACTTCTGCAAATTGCCGCTTCAGTCACTTAACTATTGAAGTTACAAACTCAATATTTGTACGCTTTGACACTGTTTCTTAATGTTCAACTGCACCTTGTGGGTACTGGGAAAGGAGAAAAACTATCAGCCACATCACTGAATTTTCTGATCTCAAACTGATCCCCATGAGGGAGACCACAGTTTGGAAGACAGATCTTGTACTAAGCTGTTATCCAAATGTTATGGGGAACACAGCTGTAGGTGGATACCACTTGCTCTGTGGGCTTCAGGTAGATACAAACTCAAGCGGGACAATCAAGCCCTCTTCTCTGCTCAGCTTATTTGGCAAAAGAAGGGACGTCTCCCTCTCCTCTCCACATAGGCATGTCTGCCTTTCCCTCTCCTCCTCCTGCTCGTGAGACCCAGGAGGGCCCTTTCCCCTTTGCCTTTTCGCTGTGAATCCTCCATTCACGGTCCCAAGCAGCAGCGCCCGGTGCTCCCGGCCGAAGGGGCCAGGCGCAGCGGGAGGAGGCACCGGGCAGCAGCAAGGGCGATCCCGTGGGCTGCAAGGAAATGGGCAGCCAGGAGCAGTCAGCAAAGATGAGACCTGAAACCACAGGGTGCTGTGTCAGGATCACCTTTTAGCTCACTGAACGTCCCCACCTGGAATGCAGGACAAGGATTACCTCAGGATTTGCCCGCAGGTGCACAGAAACAAATGGCTACACAGCCATTAGTTATGTTGCAAAAACACTTGATTCAGCTACTGTGTTTATATACCAAGCTTAAAATCAGCAAATGCTGCGGGCTTTTCTAATAATATGTGTATTTCTTTATATAGAAAGGAGCTCCATGTTATTTTTCTATAATTAATCCTAGAATGTTCTCTGGTCTGTCAAATGTACATGGAGCTAGCTAGCTACACCTTTAGATGTAACTAAATCTAAGTAGGCTGCACTTAACAACATCTTTCAGGAGGCTTTATGAAGATTATCTACTTTTTATCCTCTACTTAACAGATTAGAGGATGATATCCCAGATACATTTTCCCCTTCTTCATACATTTCAATGACTATAAGTCTTCAGAATTGCAAATAGAAATCTTTTATAAATTTAAAAGTCAATACTAAATACATACAGAATTTACTACAGTCTTAATCCCAAATCACTTTCATTGCTCATACGCCAGTGCTTAACTACTAGGTTTGTATTTCCTTTACTAGAGTGAATTGATCTATTCTCACTTATATGTGATGGAGATGGATAAAAATTGATACCAGATCAATTAATCTACTGCTAGCCTTCTGATTTCCACCAAGTGATTTATTAAATATTGATTGAATAAGTACAGATTGTTTACATGATCCAAATGGGCTTCTTTTTTTTCTTCTTTAGCATAGCATTAGTAATTAAACACAGGAAAGAATATAAGAATACCCAAAATATTAATTTCTTACTAAGTTCTTTCCTAATCTCCTATAAGGAATGTGGGGCTTTTCCTTCTACATTTCCATGTCTGTTTGAGTGACCTTCATATGAGCAATGGGAAACATTTTAAATTTTGGAAAATAAGGTGCTCAGAACATTTGAGAATAGAATCATTGTTTCTTCTGACATTTCCCAGGCAAAATATATTCACATACACTTCGTAGTATACGCTGTTGTAAACCAGATAACTTCAGAGCACACTCAGTGTGCAGGGATGGGACCATGTGCAGACCATGAGCAGAATAAGCCAGAAGCTGTTCAGCTGCATGTGTGTAAGTGCACAAAGCACAGCTGATCTGCCCACGTGTACCAAGAGTGAGGCAGCCAGAACTAGCCTGGGTTAGCTGTGCACACACAGACCAGATGGGTGGTACACACACCATCACTGCCCTGCTGGATGTGAGCTACTGTACACAGAGTCATTTTGAGCTATACATTCTTTGAGAATAGCTAAACTATCAAACACCCATAGAACATCTGTGTATTTTTACAGTCTTCAAATTTCATCTAAATAATTTTTCAAGGCAAAGTAAAGGGACATATTGGAAATAGATGAAGAGATGGTGCCTTGTCAAACAACGATTTCAAATCAGTTACACACTGCTTCTTGAAAAAGTCAATTAAACAATACGTAACTCTCAGAAATAGAGACAAGCTTGAACAAGATTATTTCCTAATCTGATATAATCTAGTACTGTCAGTTTTCATATCCTTCATACCTTCATAACAAGAGTTTCTGGACCATTTGGTCAGGAGGACCTTAGTCTACACATAGAACTACAGTGCTGCAAATTAAACTTCAGCAAGTGAATTTCTTTATATTATCCACACACTTAAATCTGAAACTGAAATATGTTTTGATGTTTGATCTTCTGGTATAACAGTCATGAATTAAAATGTAACTGCTGCTGCAAAAAAAGATAAACTAATGAATCTACATGTAAACTCACAGAGCCCAGATCTCCATGTTATAATAATTTGCATCATTTATTGGCACAGATTCTCATCACTTTTGATTTATCAATGAGTCATTAGGATTCTCGTCTTCAGCATACCGAATAAATATAATTTACCTTCCTCACAGTGTGGATCTGTGGGAGGAGAGAAACAAAGTTGTGGGAAGCCACTACAGTTTTGTATGTGCAGCCTCAGAACCAAGCCTGCGTCTTTCCTGTCTGTCTCAATTATAGAGTTACTGCAGGCAGCAAAGGTAGGTAGGATATCCAAAGCAACAAGCTTGGCAGAAGGGCAGGAATTAGATTGGAATATTGGAAATATACAAGTTTTTATGACTCCCTGTAGCTCACATATAAAATTAAATTTAATTCCCATAGACAGCTTTATAAGGGAAACTTGCATATTACCAGACTGATAATAGGATTCTCCCATATCTTTTTTTACCATCTTCTTGATGTTCCCTCTCAGCATGGATAATGCAGATCTGGCACAAGGGCTTGCTTGCATTACATTACTTAGACTTGGATAACTGCATTCATTTAAT